AGGCTGCGGTGGTGGGGAGCAGCCACTGCACTCCAGTCTGGGCGACAGAGTGAGACTCGAACTCAAAAAAAATAAAATAAAATAAAAAAATAAACAGACACAGAGAGGAAAACCTAAGTGTATCTCAAACATGGAGAGGCTCATTCTACTCAAAATGAGGTATTTGTAAATGAAACCATGCAAAGATAACTACTTTTCAACTCAGATTGGCAAAGATCAAAAAGTTTGATGGGAGGGTGGGAAAAAAAGTTTGATAAACACAGTGCTGATGAGGATATGGGGGAGCAGGCGCTGATGGAATTGAGCTGTGTCTGTCTATCTAAACTACACACTCCCATACCCTTTGGCCTAAATATTCTACTTACAGGAATAGATCCTACATATACATACATACAAGGTTACTCAGTACAGCAGTTTTACTTTTATTTATTTGTTTATTTTTAACTGGAGTCTCACTCTGTCACCCAGACTGGAGTGCAGTGGCTGCTCCCAGCCACTGCAGCCTCAACCTGCTGGGCTCCGGCAATCCTTCTGCCTCAGCCTTCCAAGTAGCTGGAACTACAGGCATGCGCCACCACGCCCGTCTAGTTTTTGATTTATTGTAGAGATGAAGTCTCGCCAAGTTGCCCAGGCAGGTCTCGAACCCGCGGGCTCAGGCAATTCACTCACCTCAGCCTCCCAAGGCACAGGATTACAGGATGAGCCACCAAGTCTGGCTCACTAAAGCAGTTTTAATAACATAAGGTTGGAACTAATCTCGATGTCCTTTTCTGGGGCACTAAAGAAATTACTGTGTATAAAATGGTACATTATGAGCCATAAAAATAGTCCCGACACAGCGCCCCTGCCTCCAACCATGCACCACACTTCCCAGACCTTCTTCACTCGGGCCAGCACCGGCGCCCCCCAAACTATGAGATCTCAAGGAGGAGCACGAGGTGGCCATGCTGGGGATGCCCCACGGCTCTGCTCCCATGACGTCCACCATGATCCACATCCACAGCGACACCTCCATGCCCCACCACGTCGTCTGGTCCCTGTTCAACACGCTCTTCCTGAACATCAGCTGTCTGGGCTTCATCGCCTTCGCCTACTCCGTGAAGTCTAGGGACAGGAAGATGGTGGGCGACGTGACCGGGGCCCAGGCCTACGCCTCCACTGCCAAGTGCCTGAATATCTGGGCCCTGATTCTTGGCATCCTTGGGACCATTGGTGTCATCTTGTTCCAGTCTTGATCTTCATAGTGTTTCAGTAGACTGTGAGGCAACGTGGAGTTTATCATTGCCATAGCGAGGCCCATGTGCCCGACCTCCTATTGTCTTCCCCCTGCCTTGGCCCCTTATACAGCAGTTTGAACTCACATACTTTTCTACAGTGGCGGTCAATAAAGTGTGTCACAAAAAAAAGAAATAGTCCCAAGGAAGCTCTTTGTTCTCTTATGAAACAATTTTCAAAACGTATGAAGTGCAGAACTATGTGTATAGTATCCTACTATTTATTTGTTTTTTGTTTTGAGTTGGAGTCTCACTCTGTGGCCCCGACTGGAGTACAGTGGCCGCTCCTGGCCACTGCAACCTCGAACTCCTGGGCTCCGGCGATTCTTCTGCCTCAGCCTTCCAAGTAGCTGAAACTACAGGCGTGCGCTACCACGCCCGGCTAATTTTTTGATGTATTGTAGAGATGAGGTCTCGCCAAGTTGCCCAGGCGGGTCTCAAACCCGCAGGCTCAGGCAATCCACTCACCTCAGCCTCCCAAAGCACGGGATTACAGGCTGAACCACCGAACCTGGCTTACTATTTGTTTTATATGGGTAAATTAACTCCCAGAGGTGTAATTGAACCCAGATCCAGGTGCTCCTTGCTTAAAGCCAGAGAGTTGTGGAAGGAAAAACAAGTTTATTCAAGAAACTGGCTTCCTGAAATGACAGACTAACATCCCAAGGAGTATCTCACATTCTCAGTCTGGTCAGAGATGGTTTTATTTTTTATTTTTTTTCCAAAGTGGAGTCTCACTCTGTCACCCAGATTGGAGTGCAGTGGCACGCTCCCAGCCACCGCAGCCTCGACCTGCTTGCTGGGCTCCAGCGATCCTTCTGCCTCAGCCTTCCAAGTAGCTGGAACTACAGCGTGCACTACCACGCCTGGCTAATTTTTTGATTTATTGTAGAGATGACATCTCGCCAATTTGCCCAGGCAGGTCTCGAACCCGTGGGCTCAGGCAATCCACTCACTCAAATCCACTCACTCACCTCAGACTCGTAGGATTACAGGCTGAGCCACCGAGCCTGGCTCAGAGAGGGCTTTAAAGGGAGACTTGGTATGGGAAACATGCGGGAGTGTTGCAGGGTACAGGGTTTATATGTCCTTGTTCTGGTGGCTGTCTTGAGTAATCGCTGCTCTAGGGGTTTGGCTGGCGTCATCTTGACTGCGGCCTGGTGGTAGATCAATCGTCCATGACTACCCTCAGGTGTGAGAGTTCTGCAATCACAATCAAGGCACATGCCTAGTTTGTTCTAAGGTTAGCCTCTGGAATATAGAGGCCTGGTTTGCTTCAAGATTAACCCCTGGGTTTTCTAAGAAAGCATATAGTTCACAGTGCAAGGTAATGCATAGAGGAAGGAGGGGAGAGAACAAAAATGTTTAAAGTACAATGTTATTTTATTTATCTATTTATTTATTTTTAGGTTGGAGTCTCACTCTGTCGCCCAGTCTGGAGTGCAGTGGCATGCTCCTGCTGTGCTCCGACAATCCTTCCGCCTCAGCCTTCTAAGTAGCCAGAACTATAGGCACGTGCTACCACAGCCAGCTAATTTTTGATTTATTGTAGAGAATGAGGGCTCACCAAGTTGCCCGGGTGGGTCTCGAACCCGTGGGCTCGGGCAATCCTCTCGCCTCGGCCTCCCAGAGTACTGGGATTACAGGCTGAGCCACCGAGCCCGGCCTAAAGTACAGTTTTAAAGCTAAAGAAGAGGTTTAGTGTGTATGTGCGTGTGTTGTGTGTGTGTGTATTATTATTTTTTTTCTGCATTGGGGGTCTCACTCTGTTGCCCAGGCTGGAGTGCAGTGGCACGCTGCTCACAGCCACCACAACCTTGACCTGCTGGGCTCAGGTGATCATTCCACCTCAGCCTTCCAAGTAGCTGGAACCACAGGTGTGTGCCACCACACCCGGTTAATTTTTTGATTTACTGTAGAGACAAGGTCTCTCCAAGTTGCCCAGGCTGGTCTCAAACCCCTGGTCTCAAGCAATCCTCTCATCTCAGTCTTCCAAAGTGCTGGGATTACAGGCTTCATCCACCATGCCTGGCCTAGACTTTTTTTTTTTGAGTCAGAGTCTCACTCTGTCGCCCAGGCTGAAGGGCAGGGGCACGCTCACGGCCACTGCAGCCTCAATCTCCTGGGTTTAGGCAATCCTTCCTCCTCAGCCTTCCAAGTCACTGGAACTACAGGCACGCTCCACCACGCCCAGCTAATTTTTTGACTTATTGTGGAGATGAGGTATCACCAAGTTGCCCAGGTTGGTCTCGAATCCACAGGCTCAGGCAATCCTCTCACCTCAGCCTCGAAAAGTGCTGGGATTATAGGTGTGAGCCACCAAGCCCAGCTTAGAATATATTTTAAGGCTGAAATTCTGCTACAGAAGGACATGAAAGAAACTGTGCCTCTGGGAGGGAAACTAAGTGACTGGAAGACAGAGAAAGGAAGATTTTTTTCACCATTTATTTGAATTATCCTTTCAAAATATAACTTAAAAAATAAAAACACGCAAAGAAACAAAACCCATTTGTCATTATAAGTACATTGAGTTAGTGAGAAGGGAACCAGTATTTATTGAGCTCCTACCACGTTCCGGACATTGTGGACATTGGTCCACATACACCACCCCATTTAGTACCCTGGTAGTCCATTGAGATGGGTATAAATTCTGATTTTACGGGTTAGATTGGTCAAGTAATTTATTCAGTGTCACTCCCAGTCTAGCTCCGAAGCTTCAGCTTACGCAAAGTGCCCTATATTTGAAATATTGGTATTTTTCATTGAGTACTTAAAATATTACTAAGTGCTTTATGTACTTATTCTCATATAATTCTCAAAACAACTCTGGAAAGTAGGAATTACTATCCTTCCTTTTTGGGGGGAAGGGGACAGGATCTCGCTCTGTCATCCAGCTGAGTGCAGCCTACAGCTAGCTCCCCGGAGATCCTCCCACCTCAACCTCCTGAGTAGGTGGGACTACAGGCGCGTGCCACTACACTCAGCTAATTTAATTTTTTTGTAGAGACGGGGACCGGAGGGAGCATCTTACTGTGTTGCCCAGACTGGTCTCGAACTTCTAGGCTCAAGCGATCCTTCTGCCTCGGCCTCCTAAAGCGCTGGGATTATATGGGTGAGAGTCATCGCGCCCGGCCTATTATTCCCCTTTTACAGAAAAGATACAGAAGTCAGAGACACCGCGCAACGAGCCCAAAGTTACGGATGTATAAACGTTTGAAAGCCAGATTTAATTCCAAAACTCCTGCTGAAAAGTAGAAACCACACCCGGTTCAAAGGACAAAAGCAAGAAAGCTCGCTAGTTTCCGGGGGGAGAGGACACTTCCGGGGGAAAATGGACACTTCCGGGGGTAGGGGCGAATCCAGCAGGCTGCGGAAGACTGCGCAGGCGCACACCTCGGCAAGTTCGCGAGAGGACTTGCCGCAACAATGCCTGTCAATCACTCGTCCCCGCCCCACGCCGGCGCGCCCCCGGGCAAGCTCCGCCCCTCAAGTCCTGGCTGGGCGGGAAGCGAACGCGCGCTCGCTCCCGTTACCCTCCGCCTAGGGGGAGGGCGGGGGAAGCAGAGGCGCGCGCTCGCGAGCTGCGTGCTCGCGTACGTCGCCGGGGTTCGGCTGCGTCCGTCCCTCCGCCCGCCCGTTGCCGCCGCCGCCGCCGCCGCCGCCGCCGCCGCTACCGCGCTCTCGCTTTGCCCGCCGCCGCCTGAGGGGGGCTGGGGCCGGGGCCAGCCACCACCGCCGTCGCCGGGATGCCGCGGGTGTACATCGGCCGCCTGAGCTACCAAGCCCGGGAGCGCGATGTGGAGCGCTTCTTTAAGGGCTACGGAAAGATCCTGGAGGTGGATCTGAAGAACGGGTGAGGAGGGGCCGGCCGGGTGGGGACAGGGCCCCGCCGGTGGCGGGGAGGCCTCGGGGACGGGAGAGGGACGCCTGCTTCGCGCAGAGCAGCCACCGGCCTGGTCCGGCTCCGCCATAGTGGCGGCGCCTCGGGGGCGCGGGTAGGCCCCGGTTCCCACTGCGCCTGCGCGGGTGGGGGTGGTGGAGGGATAATGGGAGCGATGGTGAGGATCTGAGTGGGACGGGGAGATAGAAAACCCGAGTGGGATTGGGGCTCCGGGCGGGAGGGCACAGCGCCAGGGCGCCCGGGAGACCTGTGTTTTCCCGTCCTAGGTCCTGGCCCTGGCCTGGGGCCTGATTCGTCTCTGAGTAGAGAGACCGGCCTTTCCCGCTCTTGGGCTACTGGAAATAAACAGGATTTCCTGCTCCCTTTTCACCTCTTCCCCAGTCTAATGGATCAGGTGGTCACAACGCGTCTTTCCCGGGGACAGGAGCTTGGAGGGAGGCCCTTTTTAGACATGCCATGTGTCACACACTTTTGGGCGGGAGACTCCAGTTTGAGTCTAGTGACAGTTTCGAAAGTATCGTCTTGCTGAAAGCCTTCACCGTTCCCTCTGCAAGGGTAAATTAAAGTCTTAACTTGTTATCTGTAAGACTCCGTGCAGAGTTTCCATGCTGTGGTTTCCGTTCTCCAGTTTGCCACAAAATTGCTTTGCCGTTGTAGAATTTGTCAGAGAATAGTGGCCACTATGGCTATTAAAACTATTAAGATTTTACGGAGACACACATTTCAGGATCACTAACTTACTGCCTCCCCGAGCATGGTCTGTTACTTGCATTCCTAATCTACTTTGGCAAAACAGGGCCAGCAGGAGCTACAAGTTTCAGGGAAAACAGATGAATCCGCCCTGGAGAAAATATTCAACAGGGAAAACTGGGAACCAGGAAATGTTAGGTAGGACTTGGAAAGCGTGGATATAAAATTCAAAAGACTAGGGGGAACATTAAATTGACACTAAACTTGTATATTGGAGGAAACCTCGGCTTTAAAAAAAATTCTTCTACTTTGCAGCAGGTCTAATACAGCTAGTTTACCCCCCAGTGTAATACTGTCAACTGACAAGGTATTTCGAAAGTTACCTAAGTTGCACATTTGAGGAAAATTGATAGCTAATATTCTTAAATTGTCTGGGGTTAAAAAACCATTTCAAAGTAGTTATTAGAGCCGGGCTTGGTGGCTCAGTCTGTAATCCCACGCTTTGGGAGGCTGAGGTGAGTGGATTGCCTG